TTAAGTTTTTAAAGAGTGTGTGTGCATCATTTTATAACTTTACATAATGGGACCAGAGGCAGTGTCTGAATACTTTTGCAAGGCACTGTATATTCAGGTGGGTAGCTGCGTCAGCATGGGTAGGCTGCAAAGGAGCAAGTAATAGGTTTATTCCATGCTGAAAAAAAGAAGAAAGAGAACACAACGTTTCGGCCGTGGAGCCTTGACACCTGAAGAAGGCTCCACGGCCGAAACGTTGTGTTCTCTTTCTTCTTTTTTTCAGCATGGAATAAACCTATTACTTGTTCCTTTACTGTATATTCAGTATTGTCAATGAACAGTTAAAATATTAAGTGCTAACGACATTCTGTTGTTATTTTCAGCCTTTTATAACACAAGCTATACCTCCTTTATTCTGACAGATCCACAAATACAACGGGGACCGATAAACTCTGATCATCACGATGGTGAAAATTGCTCTGTCTTATCTGGCATGTGATTACATCTCCACTGAAAACAATGCAAGTGTGCATTAAAGAGTTTAGCAACAAGATAAAAAGTGCAGCATACAGATCTACAGTATCTGTTTTAATGGTGGTAGTAACCATTCCAAAGTAGCTGACTTACATTTCATAGATAATGTATCCATTCTATACTAGTCAGATATACATAATTATAAATACAGAATATATAAATATAGAAAATGTACAGGTGCCTGATTTCCTTTATTTAAACTTCTGTATTCTTCAATGCCTCCCTTACCTCAGCACTGCACTGCTCTGAGAGCCAGGAGCACTGATGAAGAACCCAGTTATCCAAACCACAGATGTTTTAATCTTGTCAACCCATTCAGTGATGCAGCTGAACCAGAAGTGAGAGATTCAGCTCAGGTGATCTGTTCCTATCTCACTGGACAGTTCTTCATTAGGAGGTTGCTGTAAAGCATGAGGAAATTTTCCTTTTCCAACACAAAACAAGAGTATTGCAGCCTGGGAATCATGAAATGGACATGAATTTGCCCAGGTATAGCTTTTGCTTTAATTTATTTGTGCTTCTTCTGTAACTAGCCTTTAAAAGGTGCCTTTTAATACTTTACTTTAATAGTAATGGTAAGGATGCAGTGTTAGTCAAACTCATCTACTGATTGATGAGTTGCAGAATGAGCGTGTACTATATAAGTGCAACCACTTTCCATGTGACATTTAGTGGAGATTGTAGCCCTCAACAAAGGTCAGAACTGAGGAAACATCATAGATAACAGATTTATTTTCAGTCCTCAGCAGATTTTCAATTTTCCTGGTTTAGTGGGGTCTCCCGGAAAAAAAGGCTTAAGGCATCTCTTTCCAGTGTTTCCATTGTGTTTGTTCGTAACTGGAGCTCAGGTAAATATTATGGGAAGAGGCAAAGGAGTGATGGGACTTTGAAAACACATAATCAGTTAATATCTCAAACCAAGGTATCAATGAAAAATGCTGCTAATGATGCAGAGGTGGTCAGATCAGCCTTATATGGCAGTATTACATTTCATGTTTTTAATCCCAAGGAAAATGAGCTCTACTGCGAGACGGAGTTTTCTCTGCAGACATGGGAACAGCTGGTGACAGGCAGCCCACAGTCACACCAAGTCTTTAATCAAGAGTCTCTGAAGCCCTGAATGATTTACAAGACTGACTTTTCTTCTCCCTGTTGTTTGGTAACGTCATCAATAATTGTTTACTGCCTGGGTGCCGCCTTGCAGTCTGCTGCAGCTGCAGCAGGAGAGAGAGCTGCTGTCCTGATCACACACCCTCCAGCGGGCAAAACTGGGGTCATCACCCGTAGCACAAAGTGACATATACAGTAGTGATAGCTGCATCCCCTCTTCTCTTTTAAGCGGAGCTTGAGTGCTCGGTTTGGCCTAGCGGTCCCAACACCCTTTTTTTCTCTTGTCATATGATACAGATTTAGTGTCTGCTGCTGCCCAACGAGTCCTGCTCTAATATGGCAAGATCCGGCTCAATTCAAGCACACTCTCAGGAGACGTCTAGAGAGAGAACCCCTCTTTCCTGCTCCTCTCTGCCACAATCCTTTTGAATAGGTATAAGCACCATTACATCCTCCACGGCATTACTTTCTGGAAGAAGTACTTTCTGCTTCCTGTGTGCAGAACATCTATATTGATATTGCTGCAAAGTAATCAGCTGATTTTGAAACACACACGTTCTCGAGTAGTTGGATGACTATTTTTTTTCAACTTGATTTTTTGCGTGATTTTCACAGCCGGTGTAAGTGGCATGCTTTTAATGCTGCAGTAAAGTAGTGAAGACTTCATAGTGAATGATTAGGTGCTAGAGGGGCTTAAACACTGGCGTGTTAGTGGTTTCCCCCAAGTGGGGTTAAGACCCTGGAGCACGTGACTGCTGGCATGGTGAGCGGCCACGCACTGCGTGAATGACATCACAGCACCAAAGCTGGGAATTCTGTTGCAAATGACCACTTACTAATGCCTAAAGGTTACCGCAGAATACCACCCATCAGAGCCAGGCCTCTTTGTGTAACTTTAGAACGTGGTTTTAAACTATGTATCATTCCTCTTCTTGTGTATTCTTAGAGTAATTACTTTATTATATATTGTTTGCAGAGGTAAACAGTGATTTTACTTATAAGACACTTGTGTCTTTGAAATCGATGTTTATAGTGTTGAATTGTTACAAAAATATGACAATGTTTCATTGTTTCCATATATTCTGATTCAACTGAAAACAGTTTTTTCACAGTTTATGCAGAAAGGCAGATACTTAAGACTGTCACTACATACCAATGATACCTATACCTCTAAAATACTCTACAGCCTGAAGATTGTACTAATGTTTCCAATATTTCTTTCCACTTTACTTCAGTTTTCTTGAACAAATGCAGGGAGTTGGGCCGTTGTACTGTACAGTAAAGGGTAGTAAAGCAGCAGGGTAAAATGCAGTGCTTTAGTGACAACTGGGAAGTAGAACAGACACAGACAGGCTCTGTACCCTGATGTAGCTGAGGGTCATATCTGTTCTTCACACTTGTTGAATATTGGAGCATTATTGTGGAAAGAGTGGCTAGTTAAAGTCACTTTTGATATCGGGGAGCATTGTATCTGTAACTCACAAACAAAAGCCATGGAAAGGATTCAGATATATTCAAATACTGTAACACCGCGCTTTAACACTTTCACACACACTGTCAGATCTATTTTAACTCTCCAAAATAAAATAAAAAACAGATTTGTAAGTCTGATGGAAAGTGATAGCTTAGATGTATGTAAGTCTCTCAAGAGGTGACCAGTCATGCTTGGAAAGGGCTCTATACTGGCAGGATTGACATTTACATGACAGTTTTCTGACAATGCATAAGAAGAGGAATCTTTAATTCATGTTTTTAATTCCATTGTAGCACAACTCTGACTAGCGATGTAAACTTTTCATTTCGACAAACACCACTTTTGTCAAATCAATAACTGCATACACAGTACATAGAGCATTGGCAAGGCTTGTTGTATTTTAGAAGATACTTTCATTTTTATGTGTCCAATAAGAGCTGGACACTCATCTGGATTTTAATTAACAGTGATAAATTGTGATCTAATAGTACTTGTACTGCAGTGTGTCGAGTGTATGTGTCCTGATCATTCTGGAGGGGGAGGCTGTGTATTTCTGGAGTGACTCCTGATCTAACAAGCCTGGGTAGGTAAAGCCTATAATAGAGGCACAGTGGTTCAACAGGATACCAACAGTGTCCTGTGTCATTCTCAATACCTTATTCAAGATGTTGTTTTTCAACTATGACAGCTGTCGTAGTCTCTTATCTTGAATCTGGGATCTGGGTTCAAATCACAGTGCAGTGTGCCCTGGCTGCCATTTGGATACCTGTGCAGGACCCACCCAGAAACCAGCAACCTAACGGTCATTAAACTGCACTGAGAGCCAGAGAGACTGTGAACAGCGACCCCTCCCTGAACCTCCAACCCATTTGTATTTGTGAGACTACCCCAAGCTGGAAGTTTGTTATTTATTGATCTCCACAGCTGGTGAGATGAGATTGCTAGAGCACTTGCTGTGAATAAAGTATTACAATTTATTTGGGCTCATTATACCCTAAGTACCATGAGTCTGCTCGCACACCTGCTTTATCAGCGTATAGTTCTGATGTCCTTTCTTAATAAAACCGATGATAACGGATAAAAGGGTACAGAAATATTATTTTGTAGGCTGGAACATTTACTTGAGCTGAGACTGTTCATGCGGTAAGCTAATTAGCTAGACTTGCCTTTATTAACATACTGTATATGTTATGAGGAGACTTCGCTGTTTCTTCAGCTGAAGAATTGTCCCGCATGTGAGTTCCTGTGCATACACCAGCGTTTACGAGTAACACAGGCTTGGTGCGTGTGTTAGCGTTTGTGCGCTTTTACTGCATTGTCTTGTGATTCTGTCTTTGACTATGAAGCGACGGCACTATGACCCAGGGGGCTGGTCTCGCTGCCTCAGCTCAGGGCAGCCTGCGCTTGAAGGGGAAGGAAGTCATTAGTGTAGTGTAGTCCAGTTTGTTGCTGTTGCAGGATATCCTTCCAGCTCTTCTCACAGAAATTCCTGGGATTTTTCAGTTTTTTCCCCCCTTATTTTTCATGCGTTGCGCTTCTCTGGAGTACTCTCTTGGAATTACGTTTTGTATACGGAATTTACACTGAACGCTGAAAAGGAGGGGACGTTTTTCCCATGGCTATGCCCCATCTTTGGAATTGTACTTGACATTTTCCAGGGAAAGAAAAAAAAAACCTTCAAAGGTAGAAGTTTTGCGTGCAGAATTATACCCAGTGCAGTGTTTCCAATCAAAGCTTTTCGGAAGGGTAACGGAACACAACTGGATATATTAGTCTTCCTGCACACGTTGTTTTTCCTCTGCACACACTGTCATTTTTGTAAAACTGTAACATTTTGTTGTGTCTGAAGTAACTCAATATATAAAACATCCGTCTTGCCGGTACACCGAAGGGATTTGCTTACCTTAAGCGAAGAGCGCTGCTGCTACGCTGTCCCGGAGAATCCGCCGAACCAGCAAAACGCTCGTCTGCGCAGCTGTGAATTGGATACGGACCGTCCGAGAATTAAAGTTTGGTTTCTGGAGTTCTTAATCGGGGGTCTCTGTGTTCTCCTGGATTGGATTTAATCTGACTGTGAAAGACGACCTTTCCAGATAAACATCAGCTGTTCTTTGATCAATATGCTGCAAAATTGAAGTAGCACGCAAGGAAGCATGACTCGGTCTTGCAACTCCCTCAAATCTAAAGTCACCGCGAATATAATATCTTGATGCTGTACATTTTTGGTTTACAAATATGATGAAATGGCAGCCCCGGAAGAAGGTATGGTTTGTTTTTATTTATTTTTTTGTGGTGTATTTTAGGGTCATCCTACTGCTCTTCTGTGAGACACAGCCAGCGAGAACGGTGCACTGTACAGTAGGTCCCGCTTGGAGTGAGTAGATCACTCTGTATGGTGAATATAAACTTCTTTTCGTTATATCTGCTAAAATGCCAATGTCAGTGCAAGATATACAGAAAGTACCATGGCCAAATTACGGACAGTATTCGGGATCAGTACTGTATTTTTAAGCGTTGCTGTGCGCCGGTGCTGGTTCTATTCTGGCGAAGTTTGGAAGCAGGAGTTGGGGAAGAGTTGCCGCGGAGCAGCGGAATGCCCTGCTTAATGCGAGGCATGTTGCCTCAGGGGTAGATGGTTTGGAGGAGAAGCGGCGTTTCATTGCCCGAGGCTCTCTCTGTACAAGCGGCGCAGAGATTGATCTACCATCTAGTCTTTTCCCCCGAATCCGTGTGTTCATTTGAGGAGAACGGGTGGCTCGACCACCTCGCGTTTGACCGCGATGTGAGCGTAATTGCCCTGAACTGCGGAAAGCGCCGGCCTGGGCTTTTTCACGTTAGGAGCGAGAAGCCGGCGTGTTAAGGGAGGTTAATTCCACGATGACTGCAGTCTGAAAATATTCAGGCATTGCTGCTTAGGCAACGCCACTTTTATTATTTCAACAGCAAGGGGGATAAAACGGGGCTTTTAAGTTCTTTACTGAACTCTTCCCATGGGTTATAAATTAATACACAAAACGTTCTTTGATTGATTATCAGAGGTGGTTATTTGAGAACAGCTGTAGCAGTGTTTCACTTGTGTTGGGGCTGTGTTCCCGTTACGACGAGGCATGCATCGGCGACAGTTGAGGTAGCTTTTTATGCGTATCAAGCCGCATGTTGGCTACCTCGCAAAACCTGCGGTACTGTGGTGATTTAAAAATATCCCGTGTTTTGGACAGCAAGGAGCATTGCTGTACATCGTCTTCGGTCATTCCTTGATGATGCATTATGAGTGACATAAACATAAAAAAGAACTAGAGAACACATTTGAATCCTAAAAGAAATAATGTCCTTTATAAGGAGCTCTCCGGTTCTCTCAAATAGCATGTACAGTAGAATATTAATTTAGTCAGTTTATGAACTGCTGCCTCACAGAATACACATTTACCCAGTTGTGTTTAAGAAACTACATACTCACCCAAAATGAAAAGTTTTCCTTTAATTTCTCTTTTAAGAAAACGGAAAGATTTCCCCTCAATCGATAAGCGAGCACACCGCAAAGCTGGCTCGTGTAATTCCCTTCTGTTCCACTGGAGGGCGGAAATCGGAGGAGAAAAGGAAAGAGTGATGTCTAAATGCTCTAAAACAAATATAAAGTTTTGGTTAAACCACATTATTTCCCCAGCTACATCCTCGTTCCAGTTGCCGCGAATTAAGTACTTCATTGCTTTTCATAGTTTACGTTTACCTTAAAAAACCCAAAGAATCGTGAGGATGCTTTACATTTTGACTATAGTGTGAGGATATAATGCCGTGAACGGATTAGCGCCAGTGTGTAAAGATAATTCTTTAAAAATACACAGGACAGTTTGAGTCGAGCTACATTTATCGTTCATGTTTTTATGTTTCTAAGCACCCAAATGCCGTGTTTAATAATTGCAATTAAATACATCCTTTAAAAGAGGTCTCTTTAAAACTAAACAGGCTTACGCAACGACATGAACATGCAGTATATATCGACTGTTGATTGAAACCGACGGTTACTGGATACTTTTAGAACACCTGCAAAGCGCAAAAGAAATATACGACAGTACGCTCACAATTTCGTACGATTGCCATTTTTGCAATACGTTTGAAATCGTGGGACTAATTATTGACCAAGATCTAATCCCGTCTGTGAGGAAGAAAGGTCCATTGCGTTAAATATGCATTATTGTAAGCTCGGATCGTGGGCTACATGTATGGCTATACGTCTGGATTTTATGACAGTGCAATCTACTGTATCATGTAAGGAGCATCGTTACGTAGTATGTTAGTTTCTTTGCTATCTTTGCTATTTTGTGAGCAAATTAATAACTGTAAGGACTTCGCGTGATGGTGAAGCTGAGTTTTGGGTTCCAAGATCGAAACCCTTTCGAGAAGGCGGCGCTTCTAGATGCGGGTACTGTACACGAAGTCGCGTTTTTCAATATAATAGCAAACAACCACAAAATAACAATGCAGCCCCACACGCGTGTGCCGCTGTCTCTTTGCTGTGGCAGGAGAACTTGTGCCTCCGAACCTCATTCTCACCAAACAGCGATGGCCGCAGAATTGCGTTTTTAAAGGATCCTGGGTTTTCTCAGTTATATCACGCTTACATGCCATTTGGAAAGTTTCTGTTTTTCATTGGGATGGCTTCTCCGGAGATAATAGGCTTCCCAAACTACCCAGTTCAGTGTACTGTAGGAGCTGAAGTATTTGATTAGTGGCTTTTGGATCAGTGAGTTGGCACAGAGTGCCTGGAACTGAGCCAGTATCTGGATTCTTCTGAATGCTGGCTGTGCTGCTTTCCTGAAGGATTTAGTAATCTACAAAATATTTTATTACTTATAGTTTCATTTAATATCAAACTGCCTGGCTTAAGATTCAAGCGACACATATATGGTGAAATTTTGGTCAAGGTGTGAAGTATGTTGTAAAAGGACGTTAAGCCCAAGTCTGGTGAGATACTGTACCATTTATAGAAGCAAATACAACTTAAAACTTAAATCTTAATGTTAGAACACACCATTTCTTACTTTGTTATGTGGTAAATAGCTTTAAGGGCTTTGCTTGGACACATGTTTGTGCGAATGTTACATTGGTGTTGCCAATATAGTTGTATTCAGCATTTCCATGTATTTCCAAAATACAGTGCTTGTATTCAATTTAGTGACATATATCGTGGGAAGAGCTCACAGTGAACCACACTAACCACACTTCATGGACGGAGATGTTGTCCTCTGCCCTGTAAAAGCAAAATTCAAACATTGATTGTGAAGATCTATGTCACAATTTACATAGTAGGAGTCAAATTGAAAATTGATTGTGGAGCAGGCTTCATAACTCCTGATGCAGAAATTGATCAATATTCAACAAGCACACGTGACGTTATTTTAGACTAGCAGTTCCAGTTTTCCGTTTTCACTCCTGTTTGGACGAACCGATTCCGTTTGAATGTGGTTGTCAAAGCAGGCATGTGAAAAAGGAGAACCAGTGAGCCACGTCTCTGATTCTTTATCCTGAATAAATGGCAGAGTGTTTGCAGAGCTGTTGAACTGTGGAGGACAGAATTCCTCTTAGCAGTACTTTGCCTGTTGCATCTCAACAGCACCTGCTTGGCAGAGTACCAGTTTGGGAGTGAGGTGAGTAAATCTTTGGCTGTTTTATTTGGTTTCCATATGCCTGAGGAGCAGTGAGCCCCACGTGGCGCCCCTCGTGTGACCCCTGTCATGATCAGAGGCAGGGCACAGCTGGCTGTCGAACCCTCCAGCCACAGCGCAGCCTGGAAACCCAAGTCAATGTGAAGTAAGCCCTTCTGAACGTGATGGAAGACAGAATTATGTGCTGAGAAAGATTAATAGTTATACAGTACACCGGCAAACATTCAGAAAAGGGAAAATCAAATGAGACAGAAAAATGAGGATAAAACAATCTTTTATTCTGTTTTCTGAGTGCCATATCAAGTTGGGTTTGTTTGTTGTTAAACGTCTGGTGTTCCTCCACCTTTCCTCTCATTAAAAGCATCCCTATTTTTCTGCTTTCCAATTTCTAGTAATGTTTATCTTTCTCAGTTTAGAATTAGCAGTTATTTTTGTGCTCGCACGGAATGTGAAAAGCCTATGTGATGGAATGAGGGGTTTTAGGAAGTGAGGAGGACTCCTCTTTCCCTCCAGTCTTTGAGCCACACGTCTTTAGACATCTCCCAGGCTATGCAGCCCTACACAGCAGGTTTGGTGTTATGTGGAGGAGAGTCGTGTCCATCGCTGACGGTCCTTCGGGCCTGTGAACACCCAGGCTGGGCAGGTGTCACTCTGGCACCAGGAGCTGAGAGAGCCCTGGCCTTGTCTGCACTCTGTCTCAGTAGGCTAGTGACAGAGCCCGGGCTCGAACCCGTGACACCTGCATCCAAGAACATTCTACAACAGCTTGCCTGTAGCTGCCACCAAGGAATAATGGCGGTTTTATACAGAAGGCCAAGTGCATGCTGGTAGTAGTGATACCTCTCTGTAGGAGTAATGACACAATTATAGAAAAAACACTGTAACGCCATCAGTCTGCCCTAAACCATATGTTTTTTTAGAAATGTCTAATTATTTTTGTTGCCATTGATGTGAAATAGCTAGTTGTGTGTTTCTCATGATTGAATGAAACCTGCGGCCGCTGTTTGGAGGTGAGGTGTGTCCCAGAGCCCAGAGCCCTGGCAGTAAATCCTACCCCCAACCTTGGGGTTGTTCTGCCATCTCTCAGGCTGGACACCATGATCCCCCAAGCCAAGCACCAACCTGGCCCAAGATGTCACAGAGCATCATACACAATCTGCATGCTGATACACTGAAATACCTGTAAACCTTCTAATATATTGTGTACTTGATAACTCTTCTTGTGTGATGGATCATATTTTAGTACACAGAGCTGGCAGTGCCAAACGGCAAAAGAGTGATGAACAGATCTTTTGTGCCTTAATTCTCCAGACTCCAAATGCCTAGATGGGATCTGTTAAAGAACCTATAGCCTCACTGCCTTGTTGCACAAAACACATTTAATAATTGATGAGGCCTTTTCGAGTTCTCTTTCCTTGCGTTTTTTATCTACATCCACACAGCTGCCTTGTGCACTGAACTAAGTGGAGATCAATAGAAAAGCTTTGGCTAACATTTACTGGTTTTCCTGAAGAACATTTGCTCCGGTACCTAATAATGGATTACACTAATAAGTTAAATACTCTATAC